CATTGCTCATGATGCTCTCCATCATGAAACATGATGTGGTGGTGGAAGATGAATGTCGGTGTGCCGTATGCCAGCGCGCAGTTGACGATACTTCTGCACTGCCTCCAGCGGTGTGTGCTCATACCCCGCAAACAGTGCCGGGTTCTGCAGCAACCCCCTGGCTGACATCACACCGTCCACACCCGTCTTCTCGTACATCTCGTCGGCGTCCTCGACAGAAAATATGCCGCCATTAGCCAGCACTGGCACACCAACCGACTCCTTGACCATCTTGATGATATTGAAATCCACCGGCTCCGTGCTCTTCTGGTGCCGCGTCCGCCCATGGATGGTAATCCAGTCAACGCCCATCATCTCGGCTCTCTTCACAAGCTCGATCGTCTGCCGGTCGTCCGTCGGGTGTCTGCGGATCTTGACCGAGCATGGTGTGCTAACAACTGCCTTCACTGCCCTCACCATCTCACGCACTGTCTCGGGTTTATCAGACAGATACGCGCCAATGCGCTCCTTGTACGCCCACTTCTGCGGGCACCCACAGTTCAAGTCAATCCCATCGCAATAGGGCGCAACCAGCTGCGCCGCCTGCGCCAGGTCCACTGGATCGTGAGCAGCGAATTGCACTACTACAGGGCTATCGATGTCGTTGGTCGTGTAGTCTGTGCGCGCGAATTCGCTGGATTTGAAGACGTCTGCGAGGATCATCGGTGTGTAGGCGATGTCTACGTTATAGTCGCGCAGCACTTCGCGGAACGCTCCTTTAGAGTACCGCACCATGGGTGCACAGACATTCAACCGTGGCGTGGTTTCAAAGAGCTGGAGAATTGACTGTCGCTTGTTTTCGAATACCATTATTACAAGTGATCTTGGAGAAAAGGAGGGATTCTCTCCTTTGGCCATGTATTCGGTACGGAATTTAAGTTTGTGGTACGAAATGCTGCTTGTGGGATTCTTACCCAATGCCGTTCGAATGCCTATTATTAAAACAGCATGCATCATAGCGCCTCATATCCTTGGCAGCTATTATATGCTTTGGGAATATCCAAGCAACCGGGCAATATCAGCAACTTCCTACTCATCCGACTGCTACCCACTGATCGTTGGCATTACCTGCCCCATTTACCAGAAAGCAACCATTTCTTTCGCTAGGAGTGCTAATAACCCCACCGATATAGACCACGTGCTGTAGCAGTAAATGACCGATGAATTGCAGCAAGCGCTTTCTATCTTTACTGAGTGTCGCTGTAATGTACTCGGGATTTCTTTTCATATCGCTGATTTGCGGTTGCTTTGTTTTTAATAGACGGGCATGTGGTATACGTCAGGTTCGGTCTCATCGTAGCGCCCATCTATAGACGTGGGCGGCGGACCATCCTCTAATAAGATACATGTCTGCCATTGCACACCGCTCGGCCCTGTTCAACCTGCCTCGCCCCCTTGCGTCATTCATCCGTCACAAACCTCGAAATATGCATGATGATATCATGCAATTCCATTGGTCGCCAGGAAATAATTTGAGATTTTGGCCGAGTCAAGTATAAAAAATGCACTTGCATGGATGGCCTCGGCCATTTTCCCTTCTCACCCCCTCTCACTTGGTTTGGCGAATTTTGTATACAGCCGCAATTTACTTGATAATTTATACTGTTTGTTTATTTTTTGTTGGAATTCGTAACTAAAATGGCAGACCAGACCACAGCAGAAGCAGCAGCAGCAGCAGCAGCGACTCAGACCCCAGCCCCGAACTCGACAGTGCGTGGCGGCATTGCGCAAATTGACGTGGTCAAATTGGAGCGCCATATCTCCAACGAGGTAGAGACATACAGCCAAGGCGGATTCCCACGGCAGAGCGAGAGGTACTACCGGCTCATGTCGGTGCTGCATATTGCGCGCCTGCTTTACCACGACGGCCACTGCCAGCCCATCCACCGCGAGTTCTACAGGCGGTTAGCACAAATCCACCAGCAGCAACAGCAGCAAATACAGCACCAGCAGCCACCGATTGCACCACAAGTACAGTAGCAGCCTCTTTTATAAACCGTCGCGGTTTTCGTTCGCTCTTTAAAAGCTGGAAATTTATTTCTTTACACCTCAATCACGCGAGCGGTATCCTTTCTCAGGATTCCACTTGAGTGGCTCAATGAACTGCGGCAAAGGAGCTTCAGGGAACGAGCCGGGCGTCAATCCGTACTCCCAGTTGGACGGGCAGATCGCCACATAGCGTACATAGTTGCCTGTGCCGCCAGCAAACTTGGGGAAGCCCGTGCTCAGCAGACACCCGGTGGGCGGCACCTTATCCAGGTTTGTGACGCCCTCGGCCTGGGCGTAGCCATGGGTCAGTAGCCAGCGCTCCGAGTCAAACTGGGGAGTCATGTCCGTATCCAGCGGCTCATGGCCATGGAACAGGATGCTTCGGTTCAGGTGCAGGAATTGGACCGCCGACAGGTGCACCTGCGGGAACTCGTCCGTGTTGACATTGGGCCAGGTCTTGGACCAGTCGGAGCGCACAAACACAACCGAGTCCTTGGGTATGCGCCCGTGCTTCTTCTCCCAGAGCAGAATGTCGTCGACGACCATTGCATACGTGGCATTCAGCTTGACTTTCTCCGACACGTCAATAACCACCAGCTTGCGCAGCGCAAACGTGACCGGGATTTCATCTGACGCCGCAAAATACGGATTAAAGTGTGCCGGAGCATCCAGCTGCGTGCCCATCTGGTCGGTGGTCAGGTTGTACGCATTGGCCACAAACAGGTCCTTGTCATAGCTGAACGGCTTCCCAGTGTCCCGGTGCACGGCCTCTCCAAACTTGATATCGCCAAATCCGCGCCACACCGGCATGTCGGGCTGGATGGTGTGCGACAAGTCGACATAGTGCGTGTGCGCAAACGTCTTGTCATACAACGACCACAGGGAGCTGGTCTGTGCCGGGCGACCCGTGCGCGGCGGCTGTGCTTCGGCACGCTTCGGCAGCTTTGCCGGGCGCTTATGCAGGTTATAGCCGCCGGCAGCGTCCTCTGAGGGCATGCCAGATGCCACCGCCAGAGCACACGAAACAGTTACGAGCAGCGAGAAACGCATGGTCAAGGAAAAGGATGTTTGAAATAGTGGGTGAAGATAAAAGGCAAGGGAGAGGCAGAAAATGCCCTGTCGAAGATTATAAGGATAGGATAGTTTCGTGAAAAGCGAGAGAAAAAGGAAAACAAGCCCTCGGAAGTAGACCGTGGCGCTAAATTGTCGACAAACCAAACATATATTGCGCACACTCAGAAACCGCTGGTCCATTTGGCTGCTAACCGACGGTCCTCGCCATCACAAACCTGCTGGTAGACTCCCTCCCCTTTCTGCGGATCTCTTTTCACACTCAACAACACGCTGCACGGGATGCAGCTTGCATGGGATGAACAGCATTTATTTTGTACTCACTTTTTGCGCTCCGCACGCCATTTGTACACTGCCAGTCCGTTCCGGTCCCTGCCAACCTTGCGCTTCTGGCCCTTCTCCTTGAGCGCCCGCCTGATGTTCATCTCGGTCTCCGCCACCCGCAGCTGCTCCTCACGCTTGAGCCGATCGCGCAGCTCGATCAGTTGCTTCTCCTTGAGCTTGGCCGCCTTCTTCAGGTCCCTTTTCATGGGCATCACCACGGTCTTGGTCTCCAGCGCATCCCTGGTCGGGCGGTTGTACGCCCTGCCAACCAGTTCCGGCACCGTGTTGAAATGCTCGGCTGCATCAAACGCCTTGACCTGCTCCTCCGAGTCCACAAACACCGTGTGCCTCGGTGTCTCCTCCTCGGTCTGACCCAGCACCAGCATCGAGTTCTTGAGCTTGTCGATCTTGCGCCGGTTGACGTCGCGCTGCGCCGCCACGTATTTGATATCCTGCGTCTCCATCAGCTTCAGCATCTCGGGCGACAGCACTTCGTTGCGCTCCTCAATGTGCACCCCGTCCTTCATCTGCGCCTTCTCCATGTTGAAGTAGAACTCATCGGGATTGCGCTCGCGCGCGCGTTCCCGCAGCCGCTTCAGCTGTGCCTGCTTTTGGCTGTAGTCGCGCGCCCGCAGAACATAGTCTTTGTGTTTCTCGAGAAAGCCGAGGCTTTTGCGACTCGAGATCTGCCCACGCTCCTTGTGCTCGCGGCGTGGCGCGAATTTCCTCAACGACGAGACCATTTTGATATGCTGTTATGTGAAATGCGGACTAAGTAAAGAAGAACCAGGCAAGAGCCGAAAAAAACGATTTTTGCGACTTTTCATCCTTTGATCTGCTGATCAGCAAACTCATAATCCGTCGACAGCGGCTGGCACAGGCATACAGCTCAGGGCCTAGTTCGCCTGGCCCTTGCCGCGTGGCTCGACATATTCGCTTATTTTATATACAATGCCCCTTGACGATGACGCCTACATGGGAGCACGTGGCGCGCTCCCCATTCCCGATGACACTACAGTCGGTGATCTAGACCAGGAGCCCGAAACCGGCGAGCAGTACATGCTGCGCGTCCGCCTAGAATCCCAGTCCGCACCCCGCGTCACCATTGACAGGGACCGTGACATGCTGATCCAGAAATCTGCAAAGAAGAATATAGCGCAGCCCCCGACTGAAGAGCTAGAGCCGGTTCCCGAGTTTGCACGGCCGTCGCCAGAGTGGCTCGATGCGTTTGCAGTATATTTCCGGCGCCAGCGCAAAATATTTGTCGCACAGCTGCAAAGCGCAGCCGTGCCTGGAGAATTCAAGCTCCCTGATAATGGAAGCCCCAAGGAGTGGAGGAACATGTGCTATTCGGCGGTCAATAATGGCGCAAACTCCAACACCATGATGCATGCGCTAGCATCGATGAATCAGGCAAGTTCTTACACGATCCATTGGCCAAAAATGGCACGGGGAATTGGTCGCCAAATAATATTCGCAATTGGCATGTAGGTCACGGTTGTCCGCTTGATAAGGTTTTTCATTTCATGGATATCTGCCGACAGTCTGCGTCGTGCCGAGGGAGTCTGGCTCTGGTATCTGCTCTTAAAACTCGACGAGCTCTTGGACCATAGCGATATACACCTGTTGCGGGAGCTTTGTCGTAAACTGCGGGGCATCCGGATGCTAATAGCGCTGAACCCTCAAAAATCTGTATTACCGCATCGTGGCGACGAAATTAGTGCTTTAAATATTCTAATAGCGTCGGTTTCCAGGGGCTACAACCAGCGTGATTTGGACTAGCTTGCTAGTGGGTTGGTAAATACAGCAGCATGGCCTGAGTATAGAAAGGCCACATACTAGTCCCTTTCCAATGAAGCAGCGAGATCGGAGGTATATTTCTTCACACTTCATACTGTATCTGAATGCAGCAGATTTTTTAACATGATACAATGGCAGTTTCGTCCATCTGCAATTTCGCGTACACATGGGCGCTGTACTTTTTTTCTTTGGGTAGCGGCTGCTATTCGCCCACCAAATGTATTTCTCCCCCGCAATCGTAATAGCGGTTGCCTCCTGTGAAACTTTCCATGCTAGTAAATTGGCATGCAGACCCAGCGAATATTTGTTTGGAATGTCGAGTATAAATTCCGGCCATGGTGCCCGGCACCATCTATTTCAACTTCGTATCATCATCACCAGCATTCTCGGTATCCTCTACTCGGAGCTTTAAAGGTTACATTTGCAGCTCTTCTTGTCCAGAATACAAGATATAAAACCAGTATTATATTTTCTCGTCTTTTCCACCCTTTTGTTGACGACCTAAATCCACTAAAAAGGGATATTTTATTATTCACAGCACCCCCACTACCTGGCCCAGCCGCTATATATTTTCCTTCATATTGCAACTATCACATTTATTGTTAACAATGAGGTTCACTCTCTCTGTCGGTCTCTTCCTTCTTGCCGCCTCGGCCATGACCCTGGCCGCACCAATGGAGGACAAGGCTATTTTCAAGCGCGCAGACTATGGCTCCGTTGAGCCCTCGTCCGAGGAGCCCATCTATGAGGGTTCGGAGGAGCCATCCTCGGAGCTGCCACCCAACACACCCGTGTATGAGAGCAGTGTTGAGCCATCCTCTGAGGAGCCTGTCTACGAGGGTTCGGAGGAGCCATCGAGCGAGCAGCCTCCTGATACTCCGGTATACCAGAGCAGTGTTGAGCCATCCTCTGAGGCCCCTGTCTATGGCGGCAGCGAGCAGCCATCGAGCGAGCAGCCATCGTCAGTTCATCCACCTGAGTCGCCATGTGATTCTTCGCCAGGAACGCCGGTTCCACCTGAGAGTCCCTGCGACTCGACTCCTACCTCTCCCGAGTCCCCTGAAACGCCCTGCGATTCTACCCCCGAGACTCCAACTACGCCGTGCACTCCGACTACGCCAACTACACCGACTACACCTGAGACCCCGACCACGCCGACCACCCCCAATACTCCTACCACTCCGACTACACCTGAAGTTCCTTCCACGCCGGAGACCCCTTGTGAGTCTACTCCCTCCACACCGGAGACCCCTTGCGAGTCTACCCCTACCACGCCTGAAAGTCCTGAGTCTCCTTGCACGACTCCTCCTCCCCCAACCTCACCTGAGAGCCCCGAGTCTCCCTGCACGACTCCTCCTCCTCCGACGACTCCTCCTCCTCCCCCTCCTCCCCCAACCTCTCCTTGCACGACTCCTCCTCCTCCTCCTCCGACCACTCCTCCCCCTCCTCCTCCAACTACTCCTCCTCCCCCTCCTCCCCCAACCTCTCCTTGCACGACTCCTCCCCCTCCTCCGACAACTCCTGATGAGCATAGCCCCTGCACGAGTACACCTCCGACCACTACAGTCATGCCGTCTTCAGAGGACAGCACCACGACGATCACGACCACGATTACCATCACTCCGCCAACCAAGCCGGTTGTCCCTGTATACTCAGGATCGCATCCGTCGGCTCCAGCATATCATGGAGCCCATCCTAGCGGCAGGGTGTTCTGGCATGGTGCTCGCCGCCACTAAGCCGCGCTGTTGATCTACCCGGGACCCCTTGCTGATATACACAGCTGCATGTATGGCACCTGTCTGGCATATCGGCGATTGGAGCGCAATGTGGGTCGGATTTTAAACGAGGTCCTAAAATGCATTTTACGTGCGCTGCTCTCAGCCTTTTATTCAGGGCATATGCAGCGGCACACTTTGAGCCCCTATTAGTCCTTGAGTCTAGTTCATATCTTGTTCAGTCGCTGGTTTTCTAATGTTCCTCTCTGTTTATTTCTTTTCTACATATTTCTTTTAACCACAGGGCGAGGTCCTGTTTCCAAAGCTTTTCTCCTTAACCTACATCAATAAATACCACCATGACTAGAACGAATACACTGCGCCAGTAGGCAGCACACGGTGGCAGATATATTGGGCAGTTTTTGATTGACCCAATTTTTTGTCGTCAGCCAACCTGACCACTTTGTGAAAGCGCATTCATTCTCTGCCGCCTCTTGCTTCTTTCCTCCTTGCCAGTATCGCTATTTTCTCTCTCTATTCCTTCTCCTTCTCCGCAACCTCCCTCCTCCAATTCCTTCTCTTTGTGAAATTCGCGAAAGATGACTACAGCCTGGCTTCCCTCGTTCCTTCGCAGCCCTATTGTCGCGCTGATTGGCGACCAATGCACGGTGACGCTCATTGACAACCTGAACCTGTTCGAGCCCGAGTGCCTCAAGCACGCAATCTCCAAGGGCCTGGGACTGGGCATTGTGGTCGGTGGATGCATTGTAAAGCTGCCGCAGCTGGCCAAGATCCTGCAGTCGCGCTCGGTGGCTGGTATCAGCCTAACCGCATATGTACTCGAGACCATCTGCAACATCATCACCATTGCCTACAACCTCCGTAACGGCTATCCGTTCACGACTTACGGTGAGGCCGTGTTCATTGGCGTGCAGAACTACATCATCACGCTGCTGATTCTAATGTTTACGGGCCGCGCGACCCTGGGCATGGCAGCTGGTGCCCTGATGCTGGTGTTCACGTACTCGCTGTTCGACCCGTCGTTTGTTGGTTCTGAGCTTCTGTCGACGCTGTACAGCCTGACCATCCCGCTGGTTGTCTCATCCCGCATCCCGCAGATCTACACGATCCACAAGAATGGATACACTGGTCAGCTGTCGGCGTTTGCCGTGTTTAACTACTTCCTGGGAACCGCTGCACGGCTGTACACGACCCTGGTCGAGGTCGACGACTCGCTGGTGCTTATTGGCACCCTGCTGGCAACCATTGCCAATGGTGTGCTGGCAGCCCAGATGGTCTACTACTGGAACGCATCGGCGCCCGAGGATCAGTACAGGTTGGATAAGAAGCGCGACTAGTTGTCTACGCATTCACCCTCTCGTTCTTTCATTTGGTTGGTTAAACTCCTACTGCTGTGCGTTTCTATTTACTCAATAACATCCACAGGAGGAAACCGCTCTATGCAACACAGGGTAAATTGACAATATGCATACCGGAGATGCGAAAAGTCTAATGGCCATATATACCGTTCTTGCATACATTGTAGTTTCGAGTTGCCCATGTGGATGGGTGTGCCGAGGGCCTCCACGGACTCTACTAAGCACTCCAAGCAGCTGTAACACTACCTGTATTCTATGGCGAATTCCAATATAACACTCTTGCTTTACTTGATACATCATGCATAGACTCGTTATAGTTGCGGCGCTGGAGTAATGCAGGCTCTCCTCGTGCAAGCTGACAGTCCTGTGCACGTACATGTGCACCAGTTGCATCCATCGTAGTACGATCGGCCGCCGTTCCGTGAGATGCACGACAGGTAGCGCGCTGGGTAATTGCTGTCAAACCGGCCAATATCGCAGGCCGGGATCCCAAGCGACTGCACAACTGCCTCCTCCAGACATTTAGAGATGGGCAGCTCCGCAGCATCAATACAGTCAGGTAGCGTGCTGTACTGTTTCCCACCATACAACCGCTGACACTGTGCAAGTGTGCTGTTGTTGGCGCCAGCACAGAGGTCGGGCGGGTCGGCTGCTGTGGCCAGCGGTGGATTAGGGTAGAGCGCTGAGATAATGAGGCCTTGGACAACCGCGCCTATGTGCATTGTATTTTTAAGTGATATACAGTGCAGATGTTTGGTATATATAATGGCGATGTTGGTAAAGAGAAGGTCGCAGAGAGCGCAGCGAAGGGAGAAGGGAAGGTGGGCTTTTCCTGCAATCATTTTTATAGCGGATTGCTTTATCATGTGTCCAGCAGTGTAGCTTGGATTTTTCTACTGCTCGTGGAAACAACAAACGTTTCCTGCTGATACAGACTACGCTAACAGCCAGCATGCGTAGCTTTGCACCAAATACACGTCCATTCATCAATGAGAGTGCATGGCTTGCAGTTTTTTTTTACTGTGTAGGACGACCCAGCAGCTTGAGAATCAGCAATATATTCAGTCTCCTTCAGCCTACAAAACTAGAGCATCTCAATCAATGGCTTCTTCCCGCCACCACTGGGATCAGCGTCTGCGCCATGCTGCTCGTCAGTCTGAGACGCCGTGGGCAGAATGATAGTAGGCGACGATTTATCTTGCAGTTCGCTATCAAGCAGGGCTGTGGAAGTAGCCGGTGTGCCGGTGTGCTCAGTAGGTGCTGACGCGCCTGCGGCATCGCTGGTGTCAACCGAGTCGCCCACAACCTCAATCAGGGGTTTCTTCAGCGGTGGTGCTGGCTCTGCTGGCTCCTTCATGTCAGCCGGGATACCCTGGTGCAAACCCATCTCGGCATTCCACTCCACCGCTTCGTCGCTATCTGATTCCACCTCCTCCTCCGAGGTCTCGAGAGCAAGGTCCTCGTAAGTCTCCAGGTGCCACCCAACTTCATCTTTCTCAATCTCTATATGGTTGATCTGGTGTGCCAGCGACCGTATAACCTTGTCATTAGCCGTCGTCTGCAGCCACACGCAGTAGTCATCGAACAGCGTCTTGCTGTAAAGGTAATACTCATCATGATGATCAAACATGATCTTCAGCTCCAGCAAGACCTTGAGGCAAGTGCGACGGCCAAGCCGCAGCAGGATGTAGACATCGGACAGCACGCGCTCACACAGCTCCCAGTTGCGGTAGAGGGGGTAAACCAATGCGCGACGGAAGCAAGTAACGACGGCATCACGCAGCTGCGTATAGTGGTCCAGGCACGACATTTGTGCGGACAATCGGCCGATCTGGCGGGAAGACTCTACAGTTTGCTCGCCGTGATTTATGCGGTGGTCGTAGGAGTACGCAAACAGGAGCTCAACAAGACCCAGATATACTGTCTGCTCGTGTGTAACCATATAGGTCCGGCGAGACAGGCCCATCATAGCCTTGTTTTCCTCCTCAGTAAATTTGAACGGGTCTTGCGCCATATCAGCCTCCGTTACCTCGCTGCTGCTAGGTTGCGCATCCTGGCCATTGGCCTTTTTAGTCTTTTGGATCCTGCGCAGAGCCTTGTGGTACTGGGTCTTGTAGTGGATCAGATCCATGATTTCCTCGTCATTCATGAAGTTCTCAATGTAGTAATCCTCATCGAACCGGTCATACTCGTCAGACATACGCCTCTCCCGCCGCCCCGCATGATCCATGCTCTCGAAGCGATAGCTATTCATGATCCCATTACCGTCACTAGCGATATTAGCAAAGTACTGGTTGTACTGCAGGTCGAATCCGTAGTTTTTTGAGCGGTCAGCCAGCTCCTGGTTGTCAGCAGCCTGTAGTCTCTGGGGTATTTCCCAGTCAAACTCCTCATCCTCGAGCATCGATTTCAGGTCAAGCGGGGTCTGCCCACCACCAATCTCCTCGATATGTGGTTTCCTGGGCTCAGCTGCGCTGCCTGCTGCAGCATCCCGCTCACGGCGTGTTGCCAGCAGGCTTGTGAGCATGTCCAGGTTCTCGAACACCTCGCCCGGCATCTCCTTTGTCAAAACCACAGTGATGTTGTTCGAGCCGTGGTCCAGCTGGGCCTTGGAATTCTCGTCCTCCATAACACGACCCGGGAACGTGAGGCGCAGGTAGTATGGCGCTGCGTAGAATGTTAGCTGGTCCCCGTTGACGTCAAGCTCGATCGTCGCTGCACGCACATGTGGGGCAGTGATCACCACAGTGACGGTGGTGTCGTCCTGCTGAACGCTGAACTTTGGCGTAATCATTGCTCTAGGAATGAGTATGCGTGTGGATAGAGAGCGTAGAAAAAAGAAAGTGAGAGTCTTCGAAAATGTCCGAATGCACGACTTGGCAGTGTGCAAAAAATTTTCTATTGTAAAACTTCTTTGCCACTCTAGATTTCTCTGATTTTGGGCACTCGTTAGCCTGAGGCAAATTTGGGTGCCTGAACCCCGAGTCCCGCCTTTTTGGGATACCCGATGCGTGTAGCTGCTGTTACCACCAGCACATCATGGGCATGGCTCTATTATTTGGCTAGGATGACTGCAGGAGATAAAACTATGGCACGGTGCCAGGGGTGCAAAGGAGGGAAAGAGGCAACCCAAGGGACAACCGTCTTGCGTACATCCTCCCGTGACAATGGTATTTGTGACAAGTGATTGACGTGGCATGTTTCCAGCACATCCGATAGGCTATATCTACTGCGGGTGGATGCAAAGAGGCGAGCACCACGAAGGCATGTGTAAATCTCTAGTATGAATAATGTCTGGACGTCAACTCACGCACATATTCCCTTGTACAGGGAGCTGGTGGGCAACAATGGATTCGGGTAATGATTCACCTTTCCCTGAGCCAGAAACACTCTGAACGGGTTTGGGATGACCACAACGTGTGAGGCTTCTTTCCAACGTGTTCCTTATTCCCAAGGACTTGGATGCTACATGTTCTATTCATTTTTAATAGCAGCTGCCAATCCAAGATGGCCGGTCTGTTTCAGCTACTGGAGCTGATCTAAACAGTCACCAGCCGAATGAGGGACAGGTGCGACTGATATCTTTACATCTCTTTCTCATGTTTTCTCATGTCATGTGTTCAACAACTGCCCACTTGAGGAAGACGCTTGCTAGTGGAAACTCCCGCACATGCAAATCGGATACAGCACACAATGGGGATGGACAGTGGGGATGAGGCATGCCACATACATGACAACATCCAATGTGCTGTATTTTTAGACACAAAGGAACCCCACAGAAAGGGATGTGCTTGGATCGGTGTCAGCTGAACAGTGTCCGTAGAACTTAATGGCGGAAAACGCACACCCGGCTGCCAAGGCGTAGTTTTGTCTGTCCTGAAGATGTAGGAGTCACTGAGCACATCATCGGCACTGCAGAGTCGATTATGTAGCAGAAAAGGCACGGGCCAGAGGCAAAGGCTGCTTTAGCTGTCATACTATGAGACATATATAAGCCGTTCTGCTCCTAGAGGCAACTAGCAGTGTCTTCACCAATCTTCCACCAACAATACCTCACTAGTTCTTTCGAAATTTCCAAGTCCAGCCTGAAATTTAAGAATACACAGCACGCCGTTGGTTTAACCATGTCTATTTTCAGCAGCACCTCAGTCTTTGTGAATAGCAACAGCAATGGACATAACGGTAAGAAGCCTACCGAGGAGCAGATTGATAACCTTCTTAATTTCTGAGCCACCAAGGCAGGTGCAGGTTTCTTTTCTCAGTCGACACCCAGGCATCGAATGCAGGACTGGTATACCTAGCCATTCCTTCTTACGCTCTAGCAAGATTCTCCCAGGTGGGAGCCCACCCTCCTAGTATATACCCTTTTATTGTGTTTAACATATTGTCGTTCATAAGCATAACCCGGTGTACCATGCAACAGAGGACTACTAGCCCAGTAGTAGCTGGGCACGGATTTAGAACCGGCAGCTATGTCCAGTATCCTAGCATGAAAAGCTTATTTTATCTGTATACTTGTCGGTTTTTATCCCAGATTGCGCTGGTTCCAAAAGTGCATGCGCATGAGCATCTTTAGCAGCAGCTTTCACCAGCTGGTATAGGCTCAGAAAGCGTCGGTAGTTGTGGTATATGCTGCAATAATGCCAGCAGCCATAAACGGCGATCAGCCCTGGTAATTGGCGAGTGGTGGCTCGTAAAAATTGAGTGGTGAAAATTTTACGGTTGAGCCTCTCTTTTCCTGTTCAACACTATTTTTCCTTTCAATTTGAATTGACGCACAAATTTCAGTTGTTTTGCAATGACAGCACAGGGAGGCGCGTTTGATGTGGTAGAGTACTACCATGACCTGGTGGCCAAGGACCCGAGCATCTCGATGCCCGTAGCCGCCGTCAGCAGTCTTGTCAAAGTTGTTGAGCAACAGCGCGCAACAACAATGTCCGAGTTCATGAAGATCGTGCGTGCAGCCAGCGAGGTGCTGAAGGAGGCCACACACCGGTCTATCTCGGTGTCTGCTGGCTGCGACGTGTTTCTGCAGCAAATGGCGCGTCTCTCGCACGCGCAGGGCGTCGAAGAGTGCCGCGATGCGCTGATCAGCGCCGGCAACAACTTTGTGATGACGGCCGGGCAGTGCCGCGACCAGGTGGCGGAGATCGGCAGCCCGTTTGTGCGCGACGACCAGACGATCCTGATCCACTCGTACTCACGCGTCATCATGGGGCTCTTGCACCGGGCGGTGAAGCAGAACAAGCGGTTCCGCGTGTACGTTACCGAGTCACGGCCTGATAAGAGCGGGCTGCGGGCGGCCGATGAGCTGCTGAAGCTGGGTGTGCCGTGTGAGGTTGTGCTGGATGCCGCTGTCGGGTATATCATGGAGAAGGTGGACTTGGTGCTGGTCGGTGCTGAGGGTGTGGTGGAGAGCGGTGGTTTGATCAACAAGGTTGGCACATACCAGCTGGCCATCATTGCCAAGGCAGCCAAGAAGCCGTTTTATGCGCTGGCCGAGAGTTACAAGTTTGTGCGTCTGTATCCACTCAGCCAGTACGATCTGCCGACGTACCGCAGCGACCTACTGGCCTTCAAGGATAGCGGCAATGTCGACTGGCAGACGGAGTTGCAGGAGAACAACCCGACGCTGGATTACACGCCGCCAGAGTACATCACGCTGCTGTTCACCGATCTGGGCGTCATGACGCCGTCAGGAGTCAGCGACGAGCTTATCAAATTCTATTTGGATTAGAGTGTACCGTACTACAAAAATTTTATGTATGCAAGCAGTTGGTGCTTTAGCCCATGGTGCCATCAATATGCAATGTCAACGTGCTTCCAGGAACCGCCGACTCGCTAGATCCGGCAAAGATCGAGTGCGGCTTTGCCGGCGTGTGGGAGTGCTTGCCAAAGATAAACCCACCCTCTGTGACACCGCCAAACACGCTTGATGCTACGCCCGTGCTACCCGCATCGCCAGTAGCCTGGTTTGCGACTGCAATGTCGTCTGCTGCAAGCACAACCGCCAGCTTGTCAGAACCACCGCCAGGAACCTCCAGGGAGGACAGTGGCTCGGCCTGGTAGTCAGCCCGCATTAGAAACTGTATTGACTGGCCAGCGGAAATGTCCTTCAGCGTGTCTATGGCCAGTCCTCCCTTGGCCGGGTCGCCACCAGTCACCTGGAGCACCAGTGAGCTGCTGCCATCAATGATTTTGGCAAACAGCCGGTGGTCCAAGCCCTGGCCGCTGGTCTCCAGCCTGCGCCGCCGAACAGCAGCAATCAGCGTCCTGGCTGCCTCACCGTCCTCCAATTCCAAGACAACGTTTCCCTTGCACCTTACAATCCGCTGCGGCTCAGTGACTGCCACCAATCCATGGCATGCAACTTCGGCTGCTGCAAAGTCGTCCCCCGAGCTATTGTTGTCGGTATCAACGAACGCCAAACCAACAACACCACTATCATGCACCTGGGACATTCCAAACAGCGTGAACTCCCGACCATTGACAAACGGCGTCTGAGTACCAACCACGCCGATTTTTGTTGCTGTAGGGAACCGCGCGTCCAGGGCATCAAGTACCTGCCGCGACTCCTTGTCGGACGCCAAGAGAATCATCCGGACGCTCTTTGCATCTTCGATATCGGCAAGCTCCTTGGGCAGCACCAAGTGGGATCCAGCCTGTGTCACACTCGACTCGCC